CTAGAACAGCACAAAAACAACAGAATAAGGCTACCTGCATTGAAGCTTGTTCCAAAGAAACAGCTAGCACAAGCATTAAAAGATGCAAATACTGCAATATCAAGTATAAGCACCAATTCACTGCAAGAAACAAACCAACTAATGTACAGCACAGCTGCAGTTATAACAGAATACCTGGGATGCAAAATCAACAAAGAAGAAAAACAAACAAACAGTGCACCAGAAAAATGGAAGGTTAGACTAGAAAATAAGATCAGCAAGTTAAGATCACATGCAAGCAAGCTAGAACAGATGAAAGAAAAGAAGCTGAAGAACAAGAAGACCAAAGAATACCTAATCAAGAAATACCACTTAGAAACAAGGAAGATCAAGGAAGCACTGGAAATAATAAAGCAACAAATAACAGCTATAGCCAGGAAAATCAGTAGATATGAAGCTCGAATTGCAAACTATAGGCAGAACCTCCAATTTCAATCCAATCAGAAACGTTTCTACCAATCCATCAATGGAGAAACTGCAAGGAATCAGTCAGTACCTGACAAGGAAGAAACAGTGCAGTTCTGGAAGCAGATATGGGATAACCCAAAGAAATACAACAAGGATGCGGCTTGGTTAAAAGAGGTGGATGCAAATAAAACAGAAGTTGAAATGAAAGAACTAGTAATAACAACAAAAATGGTAGAAAAAAGAGCAAAGAAAATCAAAAATTGGTCAGCACCAGGTGAAGATGAACTGCATGGGTTTTGGTTGAAACATCTAACTGTTATACACCCACTCATTGCCAAACAGTTCAACAATATACTACAAGAAGGAGAAATTGAAAAGTGGCTAACAACTGGGAAAACCTACCTAATAATGAAAAATCCAGCAAAAGGGGCAACACCAGGTAACTACAGGCCAATTACCTGCTTACCAACAACTTTCAAATTACTAACTGGTGTAGTAGCTGATGCAGTGCTTTCCACCTGAGCAGAAAGGAAACCGCCCCAACAGCAGAGGAACAAAAGATCAACTCCTAATAGACAAAATGATCTTGGAAAACTGTAAGAGAAGGAAGACCAACCTGAATGTAGCATGGATTGACTACAAAAAGGCATTTGACTCTCTGCCACATGATTGGATAATCAAGTGCCTAGAAATAACAGGAGTCAGTAGAAACATCAGAAAATTTGTGCAAAGATCGATGGCACAATGGAAGACACAGTTGCAGATCAATGGTGAGAAGCTGGGAGAGGTTATATCAAGAGAGGGATATTTCAAGGAGATTCATTATCACCATTACTATTTGTTATTGCACTGTTTCCTCTGTCAACAATACTGAATAACTCAGGACATGGCTATCAAACATCAAAAACATCTGCCAGACTATCCCACCTCCTTTATATGGATGATCTGAAGCTGTATTGAAAAACATCATCTGAAATAGAATCGCTGCTCAACACTGTCCGTATATATAGCCAAGATATTGTAATGGAGTTTGGCTTGGACAAATGTGCCACACTTACTATCAAACAAGGAAAAATAATGAAAACTGAAGGAATCAAGATGCCCCACGAAAATAACATTAAGAGTCTGGATGAGGAGGAGTACTACAAATACTTGGTTGAAGAAGAAAAAATGGCTTTGGAAGAATATCTGAAGAACAATGATGAAGATGCACTGAAATTAGTATATCAGGAAGGCTTACTAACTACTGTAGAGACCAAACTGGCCTACAAGAAAGACCAAATGAAGAACAGAATAGAGGCATGGGAAGACAAAGCACTACATGGCCAATACATGAAAAAAATAGCTGGGAAAGCAGATAACAATAAAACCTGGCAATGGCTAAGAGCAGGAAAATTGAAGAAAGAGACCGAGGGACTAATTCTGTCTGCACAAGACCAAGCCTTAAGGACAAATGCATACAAAGTCAAAATTGAGAAGACAGCAACAGACAGTAAGTGCCGCCTATGCAAAGAAGCTGAAGAAACAGTGGACCACTTGGTAAGCTGTTGCAAGAAGATTGCACAGACTGATTACAAGCAGCGGCATGACAAAGTAGCAACAATGGTGCATTGGAAGATCTGCAAAAAATATCATTTGCCTGTAAGCAAAAACTGGTGGGATCATAAAATAGAGAAAGTCATAGAAAATGATAAAATTAAACTGCTCTGTGACTTCAGAATTCAAACAGACAAGCACCTGCAACATAACACCCCAGACTTAACATTGTCGATAAGAAAGACAAAAAAGTCTGGATAGTGGACGTGGCAGTGCCTGGAGATAGCAGAATAGAAGAGAAAGAACTGGAGAAGATAACAAAATACAAAGACCTACAAATAGAAATAGAAAGACTGTGGCAAAAGCAAGCAAGGGTAGTACCAATAGTGATAGGCTCCTTGTGTGCAATCCCAAAACAACTGGAGCACCACTTGAACACCATTGGCATTGACAAATTCGCTATTAGTCAATTGCAAAAGGCAGCCTTATTAGGAACTGCTTCCATCCTGCGACGATATCTGTAATACCATCAAACATCCACATCTGCCTATCCCAGGTCCTGGGTAAGGACTCGATAGGTAGACAAAATGCCAAATCCAGTCTGAACATCTGGCTGACTGTGCGATGATCGATAATAATAATAATAATAATAATAATAATAATAATAATAATAATAATAATAATAATAATAATAATAATACAAATTAAAATGTGACTGGATGATGGATTTTTTAAAATTTAGCAAACTGCCTGGAATCACTTATGTGTGACTTGGACAGTTACATAAATTTATTTAAATAAATAAATAAAAATATAATCCTGTCATTTTGGGAGTATATTAAACTCAGTGAGACTTACTTCTGAATAAATAGGCTTTAGGATTGGGTTGCAGTGTTTGACATAGGTTGGCTTTTACTTGGTAACTGATGTCTAGAGCCATTTGTTGTGCTCCCTCTAAATGTAGATGTTCCTGTTTTAAAGCCACTCACTGTGTTTTAATGTTATCTAAGCCAGGCAGAATAATCTCTCCATGTTGACAGTAATGTGGATAAAGATGGCAGTTTCCCAGATGTTCCTCCTGACCTTGCCAGTTTCCGTTGCCTCTCACCATTTCTCCTGGATCCTGTAAGCCAATCAGTTGTCTTCAGGAACAGGAGACACCCTGATTTTCTTCCCGCACAGAAGTAATTCAGAACCACTCTCGCTTCTCTCTGCAGAGGGAGAAGAAGGCAGTTGTCACAGCCAACAGTCTTGAGCCCAGCCTGTCCTACACCTGTGATTTCTAGAGATGACTGACAGTTTGAAATACCCGAATATATAGTATGGTATTTAGAAAAAAGCAGTGTTTGAACCATTTTTGGTAGACATTTTTATGACATAGTTCCCATGACCAGAAAAGTATTTATGGAATAAATCACAATGGTTGAATTCACAAAACCTGAAAGGAAAATCTGATGGAATAACCTTCATTCCAGGATCTGGAATTTGAATTTGAGATATAAATAAAATGATAATGCAAACTGAAAATTAAAATCTCAGACTGAAGTTTTATGATCATTTTTCACATCCTTTCCTCATGCTTAGACTCCAGCATCTTCTTTTGAGAAGCCTCTTTGGCTTCAGGAAACTTACCAAGTATTTGATAAAATATTGAAAAAAAGCAGCAGCGATAAATTATACAATGAAGAATCCTCAGAATAGGAAGAGATATTTAATCGTGCTAACATCAGGTATTTTTCTTTCCTTTTTTCCTCTTTGGCACATATTACAAGAAAGAAACTGACAAAGCATGATGATGATGATGATAGTGATGATGATGATGATGATGATGGTGATGATGCATTCATTCATGTCCAACTCTTGGTGATTCTATGGACCAGGTCTCGCCACATCTTCTATCTTGCACTACTTGAGTTTCTGTCTGCTCTGGTTGATGTCAGCTTTGATGGAGTATGGCCACCATGTTCTTTGACAGCCTGGCTTCCTTTTACTGCTCACTCTTCCAAATGTAATTGCATTCTCCAGTGAATTCCCCGCATGACTAGAGGGGGAATCGTCCCATTCTGCAACTTAGAGAACTTTATATTTTCATTACTAAATTCTTGAAGATCACTTGAAGTGCCCATGAAGGTAACTCAGAAGCTACAACTGATCCAAAAAGCAATAGCACATGCAGGATTGGATGTTTCTAGGTTTGCCCATGTTACACCTCTGTTGTATGAGCTGTACTGTCTCCCAGCTTCCTTCTGGGTGTAATTCAAAATGTGGTTGTCACCTTTAAATCCCTAGATGGCAGGGATCAGGATATTTGTGGGATCACTTCCCCTGACAGTATCTGCCCATCCTACCAGATCAGATAGGGCAGGTGTGCTCCAGGTCACTTTCCTGGAGTCTTGCAGTCTTTCTAGAGGGAGCTCGGAACTGTGCCTTTGCCTGTGGCTGTGCCTACCTTATGGAATACTCTCCCCCAAAGGATTCCACAAGCCTCCCCTCTTTTAGGCTTTTGGAAGGCTGTCAATTCCTGGGCTTTTACCCGGGTGCAGGGATGGAGAATGAATGTCTGAAATTGATGGTGGTACAAGCCAAGGGGATGACTGAAAAGCCTGGTGTTTGTTCTCATGTTATGGTTTTATTGTTATGAGCCACTAAGATGGCAGCCATCCAAATATTTTTTTGGCAGCCATCCAAATATTTTTTTTATAGAGGTAAACATGGCATTCTACAAAAATGCTTACTTTCCTCTTTCACTGAAAAAAACCCCCACAATTTGGATGTTGTATTCATATACTGCATCTATAGTATGAATTAGCTTTTCTGGCTGAGGTTGTCTTCTCTGAACATGGGCATACACCAATGCAGAGTCAATGTATGTAAAATTGTCTTGAAAATAGGTTTGTTTATGGCCTTCATGTAGAAGAACTATATATGAAGAAGAAAAGTTGCAAAAAAAAATAATAATCTTAAACCTTATTGTTATACAACAAACTCTGTAATTTCTGCTCTTCTTTATTTATCAGATCTCAAGAAATCCCTCAACCTCCTCCTGTGGAAATAACGTGAGTTACTACATGTATCACAGAACTATTACTAATTTTGTTTTCCTGTTTAAAAGTTCGAGCACCATGGTGAGCCTTCTGAATTTTGGTTGAAATGATATTATTAGAAATCTTTAGAGTGCTGTGTACAACACAATAGAGTAACTGAGCAGAATTCAAAACTTTGGAAGAACACTTAGGGTATTTTGTTGAAGTTTTTTAATTTTAAATATATTAGGTATTTTTAAATTAAAGGGTTTATCCTCTGCAATAATGTATTTTATTTTTCAAAGGTAGCTACATTTTCCTCATATTTTAGCAATTCAAAAGTGAGGATAAAATTAAATTAACATTTTAGAAAAAGCTGCAATTGGTCGAGATCCAGTTTCTAGCACCAGGCAAGAAACCAGGAGGTGCTGAGTTCTAGTTTCACATTTGCTCAATCACTCTCTCAGCCCTAAGAAGGAGGCAATGGCAAACCACTTCTGAAATCTTCCCAAGAAAACTGCAGGGATGAGTCCAGGCGGTTTCCAGGAGTCAATACTGATAGGAAGGCATGTACGCAAACAATGATTGTTAAATAAACAAATCCACCAAAAATCTTTATGTAAATTCCTCAAAACCTTTTAACTTAGAGCAGGAATGCCATCTGGGTGCAGAACCAATTAAACAGATATACCTTTAACTAGTAAAAGCTTTAAGGCTCTAAAAGAACTGCAACAGAAGTCCTTTTTGATGGGATCAGACCCTATTTTGTTCAATGACAAATACAAATTTTATATGGTTAAAATGTGTTTATTATTGTATTGCATCCTGTCCTGTAGAACTGTTTATAGTCTCTCGAAATAGAGAAGATACATGGTTTTTCCAGAAAACTAATTCCTTCTGTATCAAAGCTAGACAAAAAATTGTTTATGTTTTTATTTTTTGGATATATGTTTTACCATGTTTTTCCTGTGGACTTAAGACAGCATATAGGAGAGTCCCCACTCATTTTATCTCAACAGCAACAAATCCTGTGAGGTAGATTTCTCCCAGGAAGCAACAGGCACCAAATCAGACAGAGGATTCCATGAGATTTGAACTTGGGACTCCCCACACCTGATTCAACAGTTTGACTCAGTTATCCCTTTAATTCACGCTCTCAGCTATGAATTAAAAAACTGAAGCAGAATGAGAATACATAAAAGAAATAAATCTATGTAAGCATCAAAGGCTTAAAAAAAGGAAGAACAGTCTGCTTAGGCATTTTGGAAAAGCTAGACTTGAGATGCAATGAAGGTTAGGGCCTGTATGCATTCTCTATCATGCACGCAACACCTGGGTTTTGAATCAAAGTCATCTTAGGATGCTCATGAGCAACTACATGATTGTTGTTCCCTTTAGAGAAAATGTAAAATGCCGGGTTCACGTAATGAAACAAAAGAACACAACTTGGATCTTTATTAACCCACTTTAAACTGGGATTAATCTCTGTTTCTGTTTTGTCTTCCTAGAGAACTAATGCCACCACCACCAGCAGAAGCTGAAGCTGAAGCTCTGGCTCTGGCTCCGGCTCCGGCTCCGGCTCCAGAGCCTGTGAAAAAGGCCAGTTCAAAGAAACTGTGCGTACCTGTAGAGTTATACATACGGCATAGTATTTCTTTACTTGAAGGTAGATCCTCCCATACATTCTAATTCATTCAATTTATGAAAGAGTTGTAGTGGCTCAGTGGTTAGAATGCGGTATTCCAGGCTAACTCACTGCTCACTGCCAGGAGTTCAATCCTGACTCAGCCTTCCATCCTTCCCATGTCAGCAACATTGGGACCCAGATTGTTGAGGAGCAATACGCTGACTCCGTAAACTTCTTAGAGAGGGCTGTGGTGCACTATGAAGCAGTTATAAGCCCTAGTGCTACTGCTATTGAATGTCTGAATCAAATTTATTTAAATAATTGTGCTTCATACTTGCTATATTAAGAGACCTCTTGAAATTCCTAGCCTTAGCTATATGCAAGCAAATTGGGATGGAGGAATATTTGGTTTAATTTGTCCAGGAGAAAAAAAAAATCTCCAACAGATTGCGGCTCATGGTAGCCATTTTCCAGAGGACAATTTATCTACAGCAATGTTGCTCAATCACAGAGCCTTTAAGCTGTGTGGGTGTCAACTTTCAGAATTCCCTGGCCAGCCATGCTTAATATTAACATCTTAAAGATGTGAGGTTGAGGAAAACCAGTCTAAAACTTCCTTCCATTTTAAGAAGTTTGAAATCCTGGGAAGGAGACAAGCTTAGATGCAGAAGAGTTCTTTTTAACTTCTATTAAAACATCTTTCTATTCTTTGTCAGGTCTGAAAAAGAGACCCCAACCAGTGAAACTTCTCCAAAGACGGAGTGAGTAGCACAGTCTTTCAAGGATTGTTCTTTAACTTAGAACTTTTTTCCTCCAAGATATTTCCTGGGAAGGAGACAATCTAAATTATAGCAGAGTTCTTTTTAACTTCTATTAAAAACATCTTTCTGTTCTTTGTCAGGTCTGAAAAAGAGAGCCCAACTAGTGAAACTTCTCCAAAGACGGAGTGAGTAGAACAGTTTGTCAAGGACTATTCTTTAACTCAGACCTCTTCCGCCCAAGATACTTCTACATAATGCATTTGTTTAAAACAATACCTAGTTTATACTGTTATTAAAACTAAGAATTCTATACACCCAAAAATCTTTGCATATATAAACTAAATATAAAATAGACTGCATGCAGAATTGTAATATCCTAGTTCCTCCTGCACTGTAATAGTCTGAAATAATCTGGAAAAAATAGAAGATCCGTTTTTAGTAGCTGAAGACATTTCAGACTGAATTAAAAATTCAGATCAGGAGAAGCAGAACTAGGAAGCAGAGGACGCCTCCTAGTTCTAGCACTCGCTAACCTGGTTGAAAAATACAAGGCAAAAGGTAGCAGATCAGCGGTTCAAATCTCACCGGCTCAAGGTTGACTCAGCCTTCCATCCTTCCGGGGTAGGTAAAATGAGGACCCAGATTGTTGGGGGCAATGTAAAATATATATATACATTGCTTACTGGTGTACACCGCTTAGAGAGTGCTTGCACTTAAAGCGGTATATAAGTCTCATAAATAAATAAATAAATAAATTCTTTCCAGACTGCTCCACTCCCCAAACCCAAATGAGAGTTTCTAGCTGAGTGCTAGAAACTGCCCAAAATTATTTGCTGCCCAAATCTGAGCAGCAGAAAGTGCTTCCCTCCCATGGAGGCATAATTTATTTTTGGTGCCCCCCCCCATTAAGGAAGATTTTATGAAATCCTCTCACTCTCTCTACCTGTAAGTGAACTGAGTTAATGATGCTACAAAATTGATTTTCTTGCTGGCACAATAGGGATGAGAAGTGCCTTGGACAATGATTTTGATGCTGGGCACAAAAGTGGATTGATCTCTTGTGCCACAAATTAATTTACCTGCAAACTTGTTCCAACTTGACTGGGGCTTGGATAAGAAAGCTTAATATGAGATTGATTGTCTCTGCTATGGCTTCTCCCCCTTGGAACATCTTAGCTCCTGAGGTGAGATCAGCTTCCACCCTTCTGACCTTCCACAAGGGCCTGAAGACCTGGCTCTGCCAGATGGCTGGGAGCCCCAAGAGGGGAGCATTATCCAGGAGGTGGTTGATGAATTAGGAGACAATCCCACCTCCCCCACTGCACTGAGCATCCTGTTCCTTCCCCATCTTATATCTTTTGGTATGGTATGGTATTTTTTCTCTTTCTTTTTTCAATCTATATGCAAGCCATCTTCCTGGTTTATTAGCATTTTCAAAAAAGTTCTGTTTGGCTCGTTTAATCTGTTATGCAATATATCCATCTCAAGTAAATTTAATTTGTGTTTTATTAAATCCATTTGTTTCTTCAAATTTTTCTTTTGTGGATCAGTTTGTAACTCTGATTCTAAAATGCTAAGCTGTTCTTTCAATCTACACTGTATTTGTCCCTTTTCTTTGTTCTTTTTGGCAGTATAAGTTATCGCCAGACCTCTGAAATATATTTTTGCCGTGTCCCATACATTTTGAATAGAAGTATCTTCTTTTTTATTAATTAAAAAAGTCCATTTCTTTTGTTGCTAATTTTAGAAATTCTTTTTCCTTCAATATAAATTTGTTCAAGAACCATCTTAATCTTTTTCTAGTTCCTTTCCAAGTCATTTTAATTGAATTATGATCTGCCCAAATATTTGGTTCTATTTCAACTTCTTGTATCATAGTCTTTAAATCATAAGAAGTCCATATCATATTGATTCTTGACCATGATTTATGTCTGTTGGAATAAAAGGTATATTGCACTTTTTCTGGATTCATGTCTCTCCATATATCCTGTAGACAAAGTTCATCTTTCATTTTTAAAAAGGATTTTGGTAAAGTATTACTTCCTTTTTTCCCTTGCTTATGACTTTTGTAACCTTGTACTGCATCGGCAATTGTATTAAAGTCTCCAAGTATACAAAGATTATGTATAAAGCTATCCCTCTTTTCTTTTGTAGTGCCAAAGAAAAATAAAGTTTGCCTAATTTTGGTTTTTCCAAAGTTCTAAAATGTTGTCTCTTAATATGTGTCTCTTGGAGACAAATTATGTCCATTTTTAGTTTTTGTAACCTATTAAATGTTTTACTCCTTTTTGATGGGGAGTTAAGACCATTTATATTTATTGAAAGTATTGTGATTTCCTCCATAGTTTCAATTATATCGGGACCTCAATCTTCTGGGAGAACTTGTCTGTCTCTGGTCTTTAGGTGTAACATCTTCCTCTGATTGGGTCTTTTTGGGTAATTCCTCCTCCATTTGCTTTGGTGTTTCTGCGGCAGCCGCTCCCTCTGGTTTCTTAGGATCCACATCGCCTTTTTCCAGGAAAGTTCTATGATTGTTGAAAAATTCCTCTGCTTGACATGGAGTATCCAATCTATATCTTTTCTTGTCCCAAAAGATTAATAACCCTTCTGGGATCAACCATCTAAAATTTACACCTCTGTTAATCAGTTTCCTTGTTAAAAATTGATATTCTCTTCGAGCTTCTCTTATTCTTCTAGGAATCTGTTTAAGCACTACCAGATCTTATATTTCATAGTAGTTGATCCTTTACTGCTCTCAGGATCTCATCTTGTGTAGCTTTTTTAAGGAATCTAACATGGACCTCCCTAAACACTCTATTTCTTCTTGCATAGTTTGAGTTGACTCTAAAAATTTGATCCAATTCTCTTTTCATTTGATCCATTTCCATTCCAAGTAGATCCACCAATAATCCACAGTAGAAATAGTGTATACCTTTTTTAAATGAAAATTATCAACACTTTTGATCAGTGACGTCATCAAAGTAAACAAACCCACGTGCTGATTACGTCAGCAGGTCATGGCCCTAAACGGAAGTGATGTGCTCAGCCCCCACCCTCCGGATGTGACGTATTGGCCTAATCCCATCAAGATTGGCAGTCAAGCCTCTGGGTACATGATTAGGTTAACCCTAGACTAATTCTATGGACATTCAAAACCAAAAAAAGCTAAGTAAAGTGAATAATTAGCAGAGGCCTGTGTTTTTGGGAAACAAGCCCTACTTTGGGGAGCTGTGAAATAAAAAATAAAAAAGGCTTTTTATTTCTAATCATTCTAGCCTAACGACGCTTTTAATTTTTGTGGAGTTTTAAAAATCAGTGCCTCAAAAGCTGGGGGAAAAGAAGCCCCTGAAAGACAGCCAAAGCCTGCATTTAATCCCTTTTTTCTAAAATGTATTTTCTTCTAAAAGGTATTTATTTCTAGGTGGCTTTAAAATCATTTCCTCAAATGTAGGGGAAAAAACAAACAAACCACAGCCTCTTTTAAAACCCACAGCTGGTTTTTACCTTTGTAAAAATCTAAAGACACATATTTTGCCATTTGCACCCTGAATAAAATGTATTCTGTCCCCACTATAGCAAAAGACAATGAATATTAGCAGGAATTAAAATGCTCACAAGAGGCAAGCAGCCAGGTGGCAAGTAGGGGTTTAAAACTTGTTCAGCACCCCTGAATAAAATTTATTCTGTCCCCCTCCTCCCTATAGCAAAAGACAAGGAATATTAGCAGGAATTAAAATGCTCACAAGAGGCAAGCAGCCAGACAGCAAGTAGGGGTTTAAAACCTGTTTAGGCATGTCAGGACCGTGATTTTGGGCATGCGTGTTTCTGTCTGTCTGCTAGTAAAAAAAGGGGGTTAGGCCTTGTTTGGGACATGCCCAGGCATGTCATACTCCCCGTGATCTGGGCATGCGCAATGCTCAAGGGTGTGTCATTGCAAGGGGCAGGGGAGTTTGTGCAGGCAGGCCTGAAGAGCTAGCGATTTAAACCCAGCAGTCTTTTGAAAGTGGCAACCTCTGATGGAGATTTGTTTGATGTAAATTTGACCACCAAACCTCCCAAGCGTGGGCGCATAATAAGAAAAGGACCTGAGTTATACAGCTTCATTGAAGAGAACAAACTTATAAAGCCTTGTTATTGCAGATTCTGCAAAACATCAAATGGTAAGTATATATATATATATATATATATATATATATATATATATATACACACACACACACACACACACACACACACACACACACAAACACACAGTCAGCATGCCTCAGATTCTGAAAGCGTGTATCATTAAAATATTACACCACTGCTTAATGGGATGTCTACAATCAGATGAAGACCATATGGATGGTACCAGTGAAACACAACATATTAACAGCTTATGCTTTAGACTTTCTATGCCTCATGTTCTCTGGATCATCATCAGTATTTCTGACAAAATGAATAACTTATATTTCACCCGTGATTCCCTTGATGAGCTCAAGACATTCATAAAGCATATTGAAAAAAGCCGTAAACCATTGTCATTAATGTCAAAGATTGAATCTAAATTGCCATTGTCTCTGAAGAGATTCATATGCCAAAATGTAACAGAAATTAATTACAAGAAGCTGTTAATGCTTTGAAATTTATAATAAAATGGGCTTTACAAATCACATGAAAGATGTATTATGTTTTTCTTTTGCTGACCCCTGTTTAACTTTGGCAGCTGTTAAACACAATTTAATCAAAGCTCAAGGGGTATTATTCAATTGGGTTTTCCTGATGAGGCGGGGCTGGCCAGTTTTGCAAAAGTTGTGAAGAACTCATCAACTCTGATGTGATTAATTTGTAACATTATGTGTTATTTAAATGCAGCTTTGCAAAAGTTGTGAAGAACACATCTCCTCTGATGTGATTAATTTGTGACATCACCAGCGTATACAAAAGCAGGGTCCATACTGGTCTAGTCACATTTGCTGGTTTCCGGCATATCTGTACCTCCAGAGCCATTTGATCTGCTAAGAAGACCCTTTTCAGAATGGAAGCCACTATTGGCTAATTTTTAAAATACTTAGATGCAAAATGGAGTTTTATAATATTCTTGTCTGCTTACTTGTTTGACTGATTGTTTTATTTCGCTAGAATGAATTGACAGACTCAGAATGTTTGAGGGCTTATGAAGGTATTTGTCTTTCATTCTTTCACACATTTAGATTCTGGTAAACATTTCTGCAACAATTCTGACCACTGGGATTTTTCTTTTCCTTCAGAATGGGAGGATGACCAGCCTTTTGTGGAGTTTACATACCCCCCAAGGGGCCCAGCATGAGAAGAGCCCCCAGCCATGCACAAGCTACATAACATGAATGCTGTTAGGAGGTATAATATCTAGCATTTTATCCAACTGCAAAACCATTAGTATTATTTTTTAGAAACTAAAGGGGGGAGTATTACATTATTAGGAATGTTGATGATAGCCTTTTGTTTGTTTGTTTGTTTAACCAGAGCCGGCCAGCAAAAATGCATGGAGGTGGACTTCCCGCATCCCCAGCAGACAGTCATAAATGTGATTCCATGCTTGCATCTCAATCAGAAGGGGAGATATGTCGTTATACGCCACAGCTACAAGCCCCTAACTCTGCAAACTCTCAGAATATGAACAATGTTTATCTGGATATGGTACAGGAATGGGAGAAGCCTATCAGAAATTTCAGGGCTGTGGAATATTATCAACGCTATAGATTTATTAATCTTGACCAAATCCATTCTTTTGTAGATGCTATAGAGGCTATTCATAATGTGATACAGACTCTTTTGAATAATGTTGCTAGGAGCATAGGACCAAATGATTTTGTTCAACTCCGGCTGGATGCAGAGGGGTTAAATCATCCTCTCTTTTCTCTTAGGAGGAATATGAATGATTTAAATGCCGATGATTTTCTGACCAGTATTGAAAATCTGCTTCAAAGTAGCTGGGTAAGAACTAATTTTCTCTATCCTACTTATTTTCCTGAAAAAAAAAAAAAAAGAATTCCCAAGAAGCAAACCTTGAAGAGTGAAAAAAGGGGAGGGATTCTCTCCCCACCTTTTGGCTATTGGAAGCGGCGAATTTAACTCTTTAAGGAGAAAAAGAAAACTGAAAAATGATCCAACACTGACACCTGGTGGACGAGGAGCTAAAAAACTTTTTATTTGTGGCTTTTAAAATCTTAAAGTACAGCTGTTCAGAGAAAGTGATATTTACAGAAACAATGGATGTTTTACAAGAGGAAATATGTGATATGCTGCAATCCATTCAAAGGATAATGATTTTAAACCATGAAAAAATACAAAACAATTTTGAATGTATAAGTCAACTTATCTCTAATTTCAGCTCACTTCAAAAAAATCCTCAGGAGAACACAGCAGAGATGATGGAATATAAATCAGAGGGAAAAGGCTTAAAGATGGGCTTTTACAAAATTAAGTATGACTTAATTCAAGTGGAAGGAAAGACAATTTATACGTCAACATCACAAAACAAATTGGAAGACAAGAGAAGGGATTCTAATGGAAAAAAGAGTGCAAGTGCACAGGACAGAGATATTGATTTACTTTCCACATTTACAGGAACACCTCTGATCATATAGGGAAACTTTTGGATCCAGCAAAGTATAGTGATCAAGAAAGATTCGGGGCAAAGAAAAGAGATTAAGAAAAAAGAGATTGGGACATACCAGAGAGAATATTTAAAAAAGAAACATCTGTTTGAATATGGTTAAAGAAATTGAAAAATTTGAAACACACCAATTCAAGAGGGATGAAATGTTTTAGATGCTTAAATGTGATTGAATTCAAGAAAAGTACATATATATGTACAAGTGAATTAGAGTTAAGGGACTAGATGACTAGATTTATTGAATAGAATGTCTAAAGATTAACTATATTCTTAACTATGATTAAAAAGAATAAGAAATTTCGAGAAAATAAATGCAATTAATCTAGGAGGGATATATATTCTAAGTACTATATTATTTCTTATGTTTTGTTATTATTGCTTTCCTCTCTTCTTTTTCATTTTCTTTTTTTTTAAAGAAAAGAAATGTATTAATATGATGATGATTGTTTAGGAATATTGGAATACTTTAAGAAGGATGAAATAGTTTAGATATTTAAAGGTGACTGAACTCAAGAAATATATATATAATATATATAAAATGTTTTGAATCAGAGTTAAGGGATTAGATGACTAGATTTATTGAACAGAATGTTTAAAGATTAAATATATTTTTAACTATGATTAAAAAGAATTAGAAATTCGAGAAAATAAATACTACTAAGCTAGGAGAGAGATATATTTTAAGTACTATGTTATTTTCTCTGTTCTGTTACAACTGCTTTTTTCTATTCTTTTGTATTTTTTAATTTTTTTTCTTATTCTCTTTCTCTTCCCCTCTCTTTTTACTTTTATATTTAATAGTTAAGAAACATAAAAATGTGAGATGGCTTATATGGAAAAAATAGAATCAAGTTTATCAACATAAATGTAACTAATTGGTACCAGTAAAAATACTCAGAATTTGATGGGAGAAATAAACTAAAATAAGGACTGTAACAGGATTGATGATAAGGCAAATCCAAATGAATGGAAAGAAATGTATTAATTAATGTATTTTTTAGGAATATTGGAAAAAATATATACTAAATTGTCAGTTATTAAAATATTAAGAATTGTATTAATGCAATGTTTGCAAAAAAGGATGTTTTTAGGGAAAGAGGAAAATAATCAAAATTAATATATGAAATACAGACTACAGAAATTAATTGTTAAGGACTGTTTTTACAAATGTAACCCAGACACCACGCTGTTTACCAACTATTGAATGACTTATGTTTGTGTAAAAAATGAATAAAAATTATAATAATAATAAAAAAATCTGCTTCAAAGTAAGGCAGAGATATTGTGTGTGTGTGTGGGGGGGGTAATTTGCAATTAGTGGTTACTGTCATGAAGAACAAGGAGGGGGGAGGTCTTAGGAAGTTAAACACTGTGCTGCTCACCAGAGTGCTGGAGAAAAAAAGACAGCACCTAGTAGATTTCAATGTGGGAGATGAATTTCTGTGTTTTGGTAGCTGTTTGCTCTTGCTGATTGGTGGGGATGTTAGAAATCAAGAAATTATTACCAAGGCCAGGGAACTTCACAATAGATTGGGTGTTTCCACAGAAAACAGAATTGACTTTTCTCAGATACACCTCTTTGAAGAAGCTTTAAGGGTCACTATAAAGATCTTGTTTTATATGCAGGATGGTTGGTGGTTTTTTGTCACAGGTAGCCCCCAGCAAGAAAAAATAGTGTTTATATTATTACACGACAAGCATTATTATGGCATCATAATAATTTCTGTAAATTCTATTTCTGTAAATTCTGCCACACACCCTATCACCACAAATTTAGTCATAGCTGTAAATATATCTGCGGAACCTGCCTCAACCAAGAATGCCAGCAGGTGGTGGAGGAGAGGAAGCACTGCTGTAGGTGCAAAGAGCTTTGCCGGTCTAAGGTGTGTCTTGAAAGACACACACAGCTCGCTATGGAGGGAAAAGTTGACTGTAAGAATAAAGAATATTGTGAAATGTGTGGGGTTTACGTCTTTAGCCCCCACAAAAAGTGCAAGGAAACCAAGTGTGGACAGTGCTCTGAGAAGGTTGAACGCTTGGAAGGGCATTTATGCTTTCTAAATTCGTTGGACCGGCCGCGAATTGGTGAAAAATACATCATTTATGATTTTGAATGCTGTCAAGAGACAGGCATCCATATACCTAATTATGCCTGTGCCAGGGATATGTTGAAGGATGAGGATGATAAAGATGTTGTGAGGTGGGATTGTTATGGTGTTAGATGTTATGGTGTTTGTAAAGAATTTTATAAATCATAAGTTTAAAGGATGTACTTTTATTGCTCACAACTCCAAAGGTTATGACGGGTACCTAGTACTGAAGCAGTTGATCCATGAAAATGTTAGGGTTCAGCTTATAAGTCGGGGGGGGGGAGTTTTGTGTATCACCCCACCAGATTATAAGGTCCGGTTTATTAATAGCCTCTCATTTTTGCCCCTTAAATTAAGCAAATTACCCAAAGCTATGGGGTTTCAAGGCAGAAAAGGATATTTCCCCCACTTGTTCAGTACAATGGCCAATCAAGACTACATGGGACCACTCCCTGAAACCATGATGCCCGGGGAGAGAGAAGAATTCATGAAATGGCACTCTGCTAATACAGGTCCTGTGTTTAAACTAAAGAAGGCTCTGGCTTACTATTGCAAACTAGATGTAGATATATTAAGAGAGGCCTGTATTTGATTTAGGGAACAGGTGATGGAAATGACTGAGCGTGAGTGTTTCAGGGGGGTCGGGAGGGATATTGTTGAGGAGATAGCGATTCAATGCATTGACCCCTTCCAACATATCACATTGGCATCTGCCTGTATGGCCCAGTACCGGTTCATGTATTTGAAGAGCTATACCATTGCATTAGCTCCTTTGGACAATTATCACAAAACACAGAAAAGGTATTCAGGCCCAGCAATTCAATGGTTGTTGCATATAGAGCACAATGAGAATCTCAATATTCAGCATACTCTGAAGGGGGGTGAAAAGCAAGTAGGCAAATATTTTTTGGATGGTTTTGCTGTCATAAATGGAACTCCCACAGCTTTTGAATTTCACGGTTGTTTTTTTTCATGGGTGTCCTGTCTGCTACTCTGAAAAAGACTTCAACAAATTACTTGATTCAACATATGGAGACCTGCACAACCGTACTAAGATTAAAGAAGAGTACCTCAGGGACCAGGATTATGCTGTGCGCTGTATCTGGGAACATGAATGGAGGGCCATGGTGGAGGATGACACCTCTTTGAAGCAGTTTCTAGTTGAGAATAAGCTCCCAACTCCTTTGAATCCTCGAGATGCTTTTTTTGGTGGTAGAACAAATGCTACATGCCTGTACTACAAACCAAAACCCGGTGAACAAATCTTATACTATGATTTCACCAGTTTGTACCTGTGTGAATATGACCAAGGAGTACCCAATTGTCCATCCGCAAATCATCTACCCAAACTTTGGGGACATAAAGCAATATTTTGGGTTGGCTAAAGTCAAAGTGTACCCACCAAGGAATCTCTATTTCCCAATCCTACCCCACAAATCAGGGGGCAAATTAATGTTTAGTTTGTGTGCAACCTGCACAGAAAAACTGCAAACCACCCCCTGTAAACACAGTGATGAGGAAAGAGCTCTGACTGGGACATGGTGTACCGTTGAATTGAATCTAGCATTAGAAAAAGGTTACAGAATTGTTGAAATCTATGAGATCTGGCATTTTGAAAGAACATCAAATGAGCTATTTTCAGGTTATATGAACACGCATCTCAGACAGAAACAGGAGGCCAGTGGTTATCCTGACTGGTACAAAACAGAACAGGATGAAGAGCAATATATTCAGGATTATGAAAAGATGGAAGTTGTCCGCTTATGACGTGTCCACATTGAAGTAAATCC